TCATTTCCCCTGTGGAACTTACATTCTACTGGGGTGGGGTATGTGGCCTGGGGACAGGCAAAAACCAACAAATAAGTAAAATAAATGGTGTGTCAGATAGTAGAGAAAGCAATAGAAAAAAATAAAAGAAGGATTGGGATATAGAGTTCTGGGGTTGGAGTTGGGTAGTGCAATTTTATAAATACATCTGTCGTGGGAGACCTACCTGAGAAGATACTATTTGATTAAAGCAAAGAACTAAAGGAGGCAGGAAGTGAGCCATATGGATTTCTGCATTTCAGACAGAAGAAACAGTAAATACAAAAAGCCATGAAGTAGGAGCATGCCTGGTATGTGCAAGGAACGACAGCAGGCTCCTGTGGCTGGAGTAGAGCCAGTAAGAGGGAGGGTAGTAGCCCCTGACATCAAAGAGGTAGGTAATAGGGGTCAGATTCTAGGCAATTGTAGCTTTAGTTTTTATTCTGAGTGAGATGGGAAGTCTTTGGAGCTTTGAGCAGAGAAGTATTCATGAGTTGACCTACATTCTAAGATCACTCTGGCTGCTGTGTTGAGAATAGACTGGGAAAGCTAGCTATTGTGAAGGGGGAGGCTAGGGAGGATGGGTGGGAGCCAAGTGCAGAAGCGGAGAGACCGTTAAAAGGCTTTGCAGTATTCCATTTACTGAGTCCGGAAAGACAGTAGGAGGTTCTATTCAGGGATGGGGAGGGGAGATCAAGAGTTTGGTTTTGGACATGTCCCTTTTGGGATATTTGTTAGTTATTCAAATGAAGATATAGGCAAATTAGGCATGTGTTAAAGCCCTTGGAAAATACTTCTCCAGCTTGCCTGGATAATATCTTCCTATTCTATACCTGTCGGGATGGTGAATTTTTTTTTTTTTCCTTTTTGTCTTTTTTCGTGTCCGGCAACGGATCTCAGCCCTCAGTGTCGCGCCCGTACCGGACCAGGACCGGCAACGGGATCGCAACCCTCGGTGCCGCGCCCGCACCTCGCTCAGCCAGTGAGCAGGAACCGGTCTGTATGTGGGATCCGAACCCTCAGCGGGAACGCCGCCGCACTCCCAAGCGGCACACTGTAGCAGTGCGCCACCGGGCCGGCCCCGGGATGGTGAATTTTAAAATAAGAAAGCAAGGATCTCCCTTTCCTTCTTTCCTCTCTCTTCCTCTCTCCCTCCCCTCAAGAGCAAGCAATATCATGCTCTTTAAGGATGATTCAGTTCTATTTATTTATAATCTATTCAGGATTGGAATTGAAGTGGCTTATACTGTGTATTTTGCTTGGTTGTTTTTTGCCTAAACACGCAAAGAATGATTGGCTTATCCATGGAAAATCTAGCATTCTTTGGGTTACGACCCACTACCTGTGTTATTCTTCCTTAGCATGTAGATATTATTTTTGCTCAGGAATGTGAAACCAAAAGAACCCATATATATTATCCCCCCATCCCTGCCTCATTAAGAATCAATGTGCCTAATAAGAAGTGTTACTGATGGACTTACGATGTAGACATAGAAAAAAGGTTGAGAAACCGTTTCATTCCATTTGCTCAACATCTTCTGCTTAATTTCGTGCAATAAATATTTATTGAGCCAGGCAGTATGATAATGAAGATGAGAGACAGCCCCTGCACTCAAGAAGTTGATTGTATTGTAGGTGAGCCAGATGTAAACAAACAATTATTTTATGGTATAATGCAAATGTATGCACTGGGTGCTCTGGAGAGGGGTTAGAGATTTCTGAGAAATTTCAAACTTGAACTGAATCTTAGGTTAAATAGGTATTTTCTAGGCAGTCAAAACTTAAGGAGAAGAATGTATTAAGCAGAAAGTCACAGAGCTGTGAGTTTCAGTGTTGGAGATTAACAAGTAATTTTGATGTGGTTGAAGTCAAGGAAATAAGCCGCGGAGGTAGGCAGAGTCAGATCCAAGAAGGCCATATATTCTTGAAATGAACGCCATTCTAGCCAAGAGTAAAAGTTTGACAGCTGCAAAATACAGATTTTTTTTTCTTTAAAGATGGCCGGTAAGGGGATCTTAACCCTTGACTTGGTGTTGTCAGCACCACGCTCACCCAGTGAGCTAACCGGCCATCCCTATATGGGGTCTGAACCCGGGGCCTTGGTGTTATCAGCACCACACTCCCCCGAGTGAGCCACGGGCTGGCCCAAAATACAGGTTTTGAAAAGCTAACATAAAAGAGATGAAATGCTTCCCCAGTGGTTACCTGTGGAGTTGATCCTGTAAAGAGAGTATATTTTACTGAGACACAGGAGCAGGAAGATTCATTAAGCTAACAATTTGCCAAAAAGCTTTTTAAAAAATCCAGTCTGATCTCTTTTTAGCCTAATAGTAGTACTACATTTGAACATGTGTAAGATTTCAGGGAAGTCTAATGTGGTTATCCTTAATTATGAAAAATTCTGAGTAAAGAGGTAAAACAGGAGATGGCGAAAGAAGAGGGAATTTTTCTTTGAACAACAACAGCAACAACAACAAAAAAAAAAACCCTTGTTTCAGGCATTGTTCTGTGTGCTTTATAAATATGAATTCACTATAATCATATCAACCCCATGAATTCAGTTCTGTTGTGATCTCCATTTTACAGACAGGAAACCAACCTGAGTATTAGTTGTCCAGAATCACACAACTAGTGAGTATTGTTCTGGCTCCCAGGTCCATCCTCTGAACCAGTGTCTGCTGTCTGTGATTTGGTTGTCCCAGCTTCTCAGAGAATTATTCTAGAGCGGAAGTCCTGTGTCAGTCTTCAGGGTACCCTGAAACCCCTGAAATTGTATGTCAGATTGTTGAGTGTACATTTTTTCAGCAAGAGGGTCCTTTCGTCCGTTTGTTCTGTAATGCAGAATGGTTTAGTACCATTGGCCTAGAGGAGCCTTTTCATGTCCTTTCTCCTTTATTGAAAGAAGGACTCCTATTGGAATAGTGATTCCCTCAGAACAAGATATTTACAAGCCCATTCAGACTTTTTAGATAACATTGTTCTAAATTAGTTACTTATCTGGTTAATCTTCCTAGGAACTTTTTTCAAAATACTCGTCCCAGCCCCAGATTTAGAGATTGTAATTATTTTATATAAGGAGAGGTCTTGGAGTCTGTTTTGAAAAACCTCTCCAGATGATTCTGATGTAAATATTGGGTTAGGAATCATTAATATTATCCCCTGGAGAACAAGGATTATGTTTTCTGTATCTTTCCTTGTGTCTCAAATGCTTGGGACACAGTAAACACTAATAAATGTTGAAATGAATTGTGCATTGTGAGGTGTGACTGCTTTATATTCAAAGATGATAGTAATGATAATCACTTGCATTTCACATGAGAGCTTTATATGACTCACCACTACCCCACCCCCATCACTCCAGTTTTCACTTCTAAATGTTTACAGGGCCTGGCACTGTCTCAAGATCTTCTTGGTGCCCTTATTTGAAATAAGAGTTCTCCTAATTCATCTGCTGAGTACCGGATGAATTAGAAAGTACCTCCTTCCCAGAAGCCCACAGTTGGTATAAATCTTTGAAAGTGGTGCTCTAGTACATCTTAAAGAATGTCTTAAGTCCTCTTTCCTGATATTAGTTACTCTGCTTAAATTCACCAGACTCGGCTTTTTTGAGAGTCCTGCTATCTCAGCATTTCGATCATCAGGCTATGTTATTTAGGTCAGGAACTGCTAGGCTTGGTAATTGGAAGGTTAAAAGCACAAGTTGCAAGGAAAGAAATTGGATGGATTCTTTTGGGAGATTGAACAGAAAGATTGTGTCAGGTAGACATAACCACATAATTATGGAGGAGGAAGTAAAGGTACTATTTAAAAGTCAAGAAGATGAGTTGATAATAGATGTGAAAGGACTAGAAGCACATCACAAAGAGGATATTTGGATCTTATAGCCAAAGTTTGATGAAGAGGTAAATACGCTCTTGAAGTCTGTTCATTTGCCATTAAAGAGGTCAGGGAGAATAGTGGTACTAGACAAGCACTTTTATCTTTTTAGAGCAGTATGAGAGAGAAATAGGTATGGATCCTGATCATACAACTTGCCCAGAGAAATGTTTTCCTGCAATGCCACGAGCACAGATAGGAAAGTCACTAGTGACAGAAACCAGCGGGAGGTGGTTAGAACAATTCTCCTCCTACTCTTCTTACAATGTATAGGTCTTATAATCTGCTGCAGTGGAGTCTGCCTGTTCCTGAAATTATTCACCAATCATTGTTGCTCTGAATAAAAGTACTTACTGTGGCTTTTAAAAAAATCAGCGTGCTCTGAATTGAGCAGACCATGGTGGAATCACAGCTTAGAAGTTTGTATTGTGAGAAGAAAACTTGTTTCGTTGCTTGTAATGGCTTTTCCTTCCTATAGTCCTCAGGTTTACCGGTGTTTGACCAAACAAGCTTTTTCCAACCATAGGACCTAGAAATAAGGTTTTATAAAAGAAGCAACTTTAAAAACGATACCTAAAAAAAAAGATAAGAGGCAGTAAGGCACAGTTATTGTGGAGAGAAGAAAAACCAAGGTTTAGGGTCAGGCAAATTTGGGTTTTAATCCTGATTCTTCTGTGTACTACCTGTGTGACCCTGGATGTTACTTAGTCTTTCTGAACCTCCGTTTTCTCATCTGTATAATGAAAGGGAAATGATACCTACTTTGGGATAGCTATAATGAAGATTAGAAATAATATCATTAGTAAGTATTTAGTAATTGTTGGCAGCTACTATTAATAATCAGAGAAATGAAAAATAACTAAATAGATTATTTTGGGCATAGACGTTGTGCCTTCAAGACAGCCCTCCTGGAGAGAAGTAGAGTTGCAGGTCATCACAGTTCTATGACAGTGAAATAAGTAGGGATGTGCTTTGCAGTGTAGGGGCTGGTGTGTCTCAATTTGTGGGAGGACTGACAGAGGAAAGAAATAGGAAAGTATCTTTCTAGACACATAACTGTTCTTTCCCTCCTACTTGGCTTCCTATGATGTCCTCATTTTCCCTTGTTGCTGTCCTGGCAGGTGGCTGTGAAAAACAATATTGATGTCTTCTACTTCAGCTGCCTCATCCCCCTCAATGTGCTTTTTGTAGAAGATGGCAAAATGGGTAAGTATGTTCTCCTGTCCTTCTGCCAAATATACCTTTGCCCTTCCTCTGAATGTCAGGCAGAACATTGCCCCAGAAGTACAAGTTATTTTGAGATTTTAAAATGGGGTAAGGCTATTCTAAACCTCTATTGCTCGTTATTTATTCGTCTGAGTCACAGTTGTTCTTGCTCTGCTGTTGGTCTCTAAATCATAATGCCCATTATTTGAATAATCCAGCCACCCCAGAATACAGAGTAAGAGGTTTGGGGACAAGTAGATGAGGATTTGAATTTCAGCTTTGCCATTTATTAGCTGTGTGACCATAACAAGGCGCTTAACTTTTCTGAGTTTTCATTTCCATGTTTTCAAGGCGCAAATGGTTTTTTATAATGATTTAATAATAATAAATGTAAATTTAACACTTAGCCCTGCGCTAAGTTCATACTGTCTCAAGATATGAATTCAGTAATTTGTAGTAAACCATTGGTACTCCCCATGTGGCTACTGACGTTCCTCTCTTCCCTTACTTATGAAACCACTGTCTAATAAAACTGTCTTATATTGGTACATGTTAAGTTTGGCACTTAATTGATTTGATTCTCACAGTGGCTCTTTGGGTAGGCAGGACATATAATTTATATATGGAGAAATTAAGGCTCAGAAAGGTTACAAGACTTACTCAAATAGGAAAACAGAAAAGCCAAAACTAAACCTTAGGTATAAACTCATTCCCAATGTATCTTAATACTGTTGACGAGGGATTAATTGACCTGGAGTATAGCACTTCTGCATAACTAAGAATTGGCTCCAGTTCCAGCCTGCTGCTACCTGTATTGCAAGAGCCAGCACAGCAAAGGAGAAATGGTGCAAGGTGTCCAAAATCAGAACACTGACAGATTGTGCATGTCCTTTCTTCCCCTCTGCTTCTTCATACAGAGCGCCAGGTCTTTCTTGCAACCTGGAAGGATATTCCCAATGAAAATGAACTTCAATTTCAGATTAAGGAATGTCATTTAAATGCTGGTGAGTAATAACTCCAAATTTTATTTTCATCTTAGTAAATCAAATTAGATATTTGAAAATTTTATCTTTCCTTTATCTATCTCTTATTTCCAAATCTGCCATGTTTCTAGTGGGTATATGGTAGATACATTACTTTATAAACCTCTGTTTAGCAACTTGGGATTTTTTTTGTGTGTGGTAAAATATATATAATGTAAAGTTTTCTATTTTAACTATTTTTAAACATACAATTCCATGGAATTAATTACATTCCCAATGCTGTGTGACCATCACCTCTATTTCCAAAACTTTTTCGTCATCCTAAACATAAACTCTGTATACATTAAGCAATAACTTAAAAACTTGGGATGTTTTAATATAGGTACTAGATTACTTACAGTCTAACAGATTTAAGAAGCAAACTAGAATGGATCCATCTACCCAATTCTTCTCTAGTTGAAGATGTCTTAGTCATTTTGCTTGAACATCCTAAGCATCAAATAATTGAAGTGGCACTTGAGGAGGGTATACATGTTCTCCCAGGAATTGAAAGGACTGGTTCTTCTTTCATATCAACCGTTGATTTTGGAGGAATGGTGGCTCTCTTTCTAAGATCTTATATTTAGAATCCTGCATTTATAATTAAAGAATGCATCATAGTTGATTAAAGCCTAGTTGGTAACCTTTTTCTTTACTGCCTTGTGTCTGTCGGCTTTCATATGATGATACTAATCTCTTTAATCACCATTAAAAAGCCCCAGACCCTTTTATTTTCTTACTATAATAGAACATAAAAGGGATAACCCAAGAAGAGAAACAATAGCAGCTATTAGTCCTTGGGGGCTTTATTTCACTGAAATATTCCTTAGGAGTAGAAGGAGCCCTAAGCTATTCAAAGTCCTGCGCGCTTGTGTGTCTGTGTGTGTGTGTGTGTCTGTCTCCCTCTCCCTCTCTCCCTCTCTGTCCCCTCCCCCTCCCTCCCCCGAGGTTAGTACAAGGCTTTATGAGTTTGAATGAAAGTGAGCCTTGGTGCTTGGTCAGTACCCCCTCTTTCCTCATTTACCCATCATTTCCTCGTTCATACATTGGTTGAAATAAGGGTTTTCAGCACACTGCTATTCTCCCATTGTAGCTGGAGCATAGGCCTGGGAGAAGGAGGCGGTATGGCAGTACAGAAAGAAAAAAATACGGCCTTCTCATTCCAACTTTTTGTTTTTAATTTTAGTTTTGGGGGGCCTCTATGTTGTATTCATCTTCTGTGTTCAGACAAATCTTTTCTTATAGGGCTTTTGAAATCCAGCAGATAGTGATTACCTTCTTCCTGCAATACCTCTTTTAAATGTGGTGATCTTACAGGCCCTCTATGAGACATTCAGGAGAGGCCTTGCTTGAACCCTCCAAAATGAAAGACAGATTGGCATCTTTGAGTATAGGAGACAGAAATGTGCTTCTGATAATGATTATCTAACATCTCCTGAGCCCTCAGAAAGGTTTGAGGAGAGTCCAATAAAATTTCCATCATAGTAACTAGTTGATTCTCTTCAATTCATTCTGTATTCTAAGTAGATGAGAGTGTTATCTTTCCTTCTCTTTGAGGCTTACTGGTCAGTGTGGTGAGTACAGGAGGTTGGGTGTTTTGCATCTTACCATTACAGCTACATTTCCACAGTATAAGCTGTTCTTCAGGAAGCCTCAGGTGTGGAATCCACCACGACCCTGGCTAGAACCACAGGGGCTCCTATTAGAGAAGCAGCCTTTGTACCCAGCTTGGAAGAGACCAGGCCCCTGGTTACAGTCGCCCTTGGTAATTGGAAAGCAGGTTTTGTTCAGAGGTCAAGTATGAAAGGAACGTGCTTTTTCATAAAAGAAGATGGAAGTTTGGATGACTTAGGGCTTTAGTCTGGCATGTGAAAATAACAGAAAAAAAAAGGTCCCCCTACTTCTATATTGGAGTTTTAAATCCTTACTGCACCTTAGTACATGTTTGTGATATTGCCAAAGAGGAAATGTCTGGCCTTTCTCCCAGTGGGCTGTGTCCTCCAGTTTAGTTTCTCAGAGCAAATTTATTTCTGATCAATTCTGGCATGATCTGATGCCAATCCCTCCCTGCCTTAGGTGTTCCAAATACCAGTGAATTGGTTTTCCATTGACACAGTGTTCTACCGCAGTGTAGCACATAGAATGCAGGGGAAAACAGCCACTTCATTTTCTCCAGGAGCCCAAGGCCATCATTTTCCCACACCAAATCACTGCTAATCTTGCAAGACTGCTTCTTGCAACTAATTCTTTCTAGCTTTAACTTTGACTTCACCCCAAGGTGTGGAGTGCCCTGACCTTCACATTTCCTCTAGTCTTGAGAGCTCTTAACATGAGCGTTTTCAGGTTTGGTGCCATCTGATTCAACACCCTGGGTCTAGCTGAGAGCTAAAAATACCATTTTTCCAGCTGATCTGCCCTAATCACAATAGCACCAACACTTTAAATAGCCTTTCTGTGCTAGCATAGACATTTGACAGATGGAACTAACACTCTGATGGCTACAGGAAGTCACAGGCTTAAAGGACTTACCAAGCTAGCATTGAGCTTTTACTTTTGCTCTTTCATCCCTTTCTAGAGAATAAAGAAGAAACCCTCTTCCCAAATTTTAATAATTATTCAGATCTTAATAGAAAGGTATATATGGTAAGGGTGCTTATGGTGACACTAGTTGTGTAAATACTAGAAAATGTTAGATCAGAAAGGTACTAATGGATGGGACATCCTGCTTTCCAGCACTGATCATTCCATGTGTGTCAAGAGATCTGTATGAATCTCTTTTGCATCTTACCTTTATAGCTGCATTTGGGGTTAGTACATATGTGGGACTACTGTGATAAGTGCACAAGAAGTAGTTGCATCTTCCGTCATATCCAGAAAGTAATCTTTGTGGCAGGCAGTTCTACAAACCTTTTCTTTTTTTTTTTTTTTTTTCAATTAATTGTTTACTATACTCAAAAGCTCAGAGACATGATGTGTCTCTTTTTACTAGTTAGGTACAGTGGTGAGAGAAACATATTTCTTCTGGCATGGGGACTAGGTGAGGGTTAGTTCTATTTCTTTGTTTTGTTGTGGCTCTTCCCATCCTTTGGAACATTTTAAAATGGAAATTCTTTCCCAGCCAACACTTAATTATATTTTGTTAGCTCAAATGGTAAAAGGTGTTCTCTTCAGCAGTTGTAGTGGTCTTGAACATGCTAGTGAATACCACAGAAGAACCCCAAGTGCAAATTCCCCATTCCCAGTCTGATATGAGTACTTCCTTCACCTTTATTGCTGTCAGAAGAGGTATGACTTTAGTTAAAGTAGAAAGATAAAGAAAGGAAGACCACATCCACACCTTCTAGGAGTTCAGGCCCCAGACCAAAGAGCCAAATTTATGGAAGGATACAAGTGAAACAGGAAGTCAAATCTCGAAGCAAGTGTAACCATATTTGATCATTTTTTTTTTATTCTGTGCTTTGGGGTGGATCTCAATGTTTTATGCCTCTGATGATTTCATCAGCACACACGGAAACAATTAACATTACATTCTCATTCTCAAAGTCTCACATCTTCAAGATTCCATCATATTTCCCAGGAGTTTAGGTATGTAAAAAAAAAACAACTCTGATGTCTTGTCAAGAAGTCTATCCCAGTCTAGCTGGTAAGCCTCCTTACATCTGGCTTCCATTGCCATTCTTACTCAGTACATTTAGCAGAATCTGAGTATTTGCAATCTATAAATCCTCAAACTCAAACCTAATATCAAAAATTTATTAAAACTGACTCACATATATTTATATTATAGAATCCTCCCTCTATTCAGTCTTCTGATAGAAATCACAATACAGCCATTCAGTAGGAGCTGCTTACTGGCCAGAATGCTTCCAAATGTAATAAAGTTACATCCATTCCATTTGCTTATTCTACCTGGTTGTTTGCCATGTTTTTTAATTCTGGAAAAAGTGAGTGTGTGTGTGTGTGTGTGTGTGTGTGTGTGTGTATGTTTATGTTTATGTTTCTTAGCCTATCATCTCTTACATAGGTGGTGAAATCCTAAGAAGTCTGTAGGAATCTGGGCCTTTGCTATATATATAGTGTAGAATGTGTTTGTGACTGGGCCGGCCCGGTGGCGCACTGCGATAGTGCACCGCTTGGGAAGCGCGGCGGCGCTCCCGCCGAGGGTTCAGATCCCACATACAGACCGGTTCCCGCTCACTGGCTGAGCAAGGCACGGGAGCAGCACCGAGGGTTGCGATCCCGTTGCCGGTCCCGGTCCGGTACGGGGGCAACACTGAGGGTTGCGATCCGTTGCCGGACACAGAAAAAGACAAAAAAAAAAAAGTCCGGTACGGGGGCGACACTGAGGGTTGCGATCTGTTGCCGGACATGGAAAAAGACAAAAAAAAAAAAAAAAGAATGTGTTTGTGACTATGTAACAAGGTGGCTCTTTAACAAAGGTTCCTACTGTGTGTTTTCTGTTTTCCTGGGAAATGGGCAAGAGCCTTGAGAGTTAGGAATGGCTTTTTACAACTTAAAACAAGCTCCTACATGTTAAAGACAATCCTGTCAAAAGGCATTAGCTAGACTCCAGCTGGTGATGTTGCCTAGCAATCCAATCAATCTGAGTTGCAAGAGCCCTTCATTGTGGGAACCAGAGTGAATGCCTGACTCCCCACAAGGTGATTAAAAAACATTTTGAGGCCCCCTCCTCCAGCATTATTGCATATAACTACCCTGAGATACAGTTTTTGTTTCTTCAAATAGAAACAGTTCTTAAGTTATAACTCCTCTGCTTGGAGTTAGTGAAAACCTTGGAAATAAAAGGGAAATGTTAATAACTGTGGTGAAAATGTTTAATGAATGGGTACTTAGGGCCTCCTGCACTGAGCTGCCACTGGTTTGAATGTGGGAGAAGGGCATCAAGGTGAGAACTACCTCCAAAAGTAGCCCACATCTAAGTAGATGGTTTTTAATAACTGTAGCAGTATGTAAGTATTGGCATCTCCAACACCCAAGTCAGAGGCTTGTTCATCAGATATCAATGACAGGTACCTGTTGGGTCCCAGATACTGTGAGAAGCACAGTGGTGAATAACCCCAGGATCTCTGTGCTCAGAGAGCTTACCATTTAGGAGGGTAGAAAGACCATCCACCATGGCAATCTTTTCCTAGAGAGCACAATAGAATATGACAGATTTTTATGTGGGGAGAATTTAGTTCCTCAAGTAGGCATTTGAATTCTCATCAGAAATGTATGTAATAAACAGTCAACAAAGAAGCTGTGTTTATCATCCTTATTCTTAAAGTTTCTCCTTTGCAGATGCTGCGACATCTCACAAAGAGAGAGAAATGACCTCTAACTCTAGAACATCATGTCTTTTTGATACTGTAGTCACAAGGAAGAACCAAAACACCAACCTGTTGTTTCCCTGAGTTGGTGACTGTGAAGATTTCTGTCATGACCAGCAGCAGCAGCTAGGATTTCAGGGTCTAACAGCAATGATCTTTACACAACTTCAGTCTTTCTCAGAGTCTTTTGTTGAGGCAATTTCTTTTATTGTTAATTTGGAGACATGGTAGTCTCTACAGGCTTAAGAAATAATTATCCTGCTTTTTAAAAAAAAATCTTAAACATCCAGTTAATAAATTTGACTCGCAAGGCTTCTGTAATTCTGTGCGCTTTTCTGATCCTGGCAGTTGAGGCCCGAGTGGCTCACAGTGAAGTAGTAGTGACTGGATTTGATTATCAGTCTGTGTATCCCCATTCATCTGGGACCAGCACTCCAGAAGCAGTCACTGTGGCACACCCACAAACCCATTTCTGTCTTGTCCTCTTTGGAGCATTTTTATCTGTCTAGCACTTAGCCTGGGATTGCCAACTTCTTAGGACCAACTATTTCATAATCTCCGCAGGTGACTCTTGCACTAATGCTGAGTTGTACCTTATTCTGTTTTCTGTCTGGGAATATGGCTGACAGGCACTTCGTGAACCTGTTCCGCACATTTCACAATTACATGGGAGAAGACTTTCTGAAATGTGCGCACGTGATGGTACTTGTCAAGGAGCTTGAACACACATGGCTTATAAGGATGTCAGAAGAGAGCGTGCATTTGTTTGAGATTTTAACTGAAGGTGTTGAATCTATATTTATATCTAGACACTGTTTCCAGCAAGTTGCAAAACAACAATGTTTATACTATTGCCAAGAGGAATGTGGAAGGGCAGGACATGCTCTACCAGTCCCTGAAGCTCACTAATGGCATTTGGATTTTGGCTGAGCTACGTATCCAGCCAGGAAACCCCAATTACACGGTAAGGTCTTTCTCAGAATGGGTGAGATGGATTGGGGGGGGGGTAAGAGCCTTTTCATTTTTTTCTTAGCATCCTGGATAGACCTGGAGGAGGTGCTTCAGACTCAAGGTATCTGAAACAGGCAGTCAGTAAAGAAGCCCCCAGTGGCCTCAGTGGAAGACCTCCTCTCTGCAGTGTCTGTGCCATCCAGCAGGCAGGTGCCTCTGACAGCAAGGAATGTTCAAATCCATGCTCCCCCTGGTACACACAGTTGCTCACGTGACACCTTCATCCTCAATATCAGTTAATTCTTATCTGTCATATCTGTGCATGGGGCACTATAACAAGCTGCTAAGAGGATTGTTTACATAGGTAATTTCAAGAAGACCTTTGCTACTTTTGGAGTTCATGACCTAAGGATATCAGAGTCATAAACACATGAGCCTTTGGGCCGATGGCCCAAAAAGAGTGCTGAATTTTTGCTGCACATGCTTAAAAATAGAGAGAGTAATGCTGACCTTAAGTGTTTAGATACAGATTCTCTGGTCATTGAGCAGTTTCAAGTGAACAAAGCCCTCGGACATGTCTCCTCACTTACAGAGCTCATGGTCACATTAGCCCCTACCTGAGCTCTCCTGTTACATCGAGATGATCCTACTGAAAAGGAGTTGCACAGAAGAAAACAACATCCCAGAAGAAACTGGAGAGACAAAAAATTATGGCATGGGAATAAGTTCAGCAAAACTTAAATGCAAATAAAAGTTAAAAAAAAAAAAAAGAATACAGTGAAATCCTGTCTTCATGGTACCCTTTTTTAACCACACCCAATTTCCATCCTCCCTATGTTTTTAAATGGTAAATTTGTTCATACTTCATTGCCCCACTTCCTATTCTTCATCCATCTGGTGACTAGGTTCTCTCTGAACACAATACCATCTAAATCTTCCATCACAGCCCTTGACATAGATCTAATCCATTTTCCTAAGTGGCACTCCAGACATCAAAATCACTCAGATACATTCCCTTCTCTCCATCACCCTAAACACTCGTTACGCTATTGATCTTGTCTCAGCTAGGTATTAAGGAAGAAAGAAATCTGTTGAGCCAGTTCTAATGCATCTTGAAGGACTAATGGTCCTTTAGTCTTCTAAGAGGCGTTAGTAAAGCCCCCCCGCCCCAATTCTTATTGTATTTCATTAAGAAGATGTGTTTATCCTAAAAGGGTGAGGCCACATCTCTACTAGTAGGTAAGTCTCATCTGGAAAGATAACTTGTCCCAGGTGAAGAAGCGTGTGCTCCAGACTATACACCAGAAATGGATGTGTAAGCCTTTGGCTTTAATTAGGCAGAGGAGGTGACTCTTCTTCTCTTGGTGGAACTAGATGGCCAGCATTCCTGAGTTGTTGATATTAAAGATGTGTTACATAAACAGCAGTTTGAAACTTCCAGGGAAGGTCTCCTTTCCCTTAGGTACCATACAAAATGAGACCCAGAGTCCTAGCTATATTTAACAAACTTGACCCTTTGTTAAAGGCTGGTATGGAGGTAGGTATGGAGAGGGGGAGAGGGCCAGGATATTAGGAGTCCAGAAAGAGGGAAAGATTCTTCCCCCTCCTCCAAAGAGCAGCAGTAGCACTCGGGGTCTAGACCTGGTCAGTGCATGACTCCCCACCAGTGCCAACTTTGGCAGTTTGGGCTTTTCCTTACTAATCATGAAAGAAATGAACCTCCAGCTGATAGAATTTCAAGTATTGTTACAAAGATGTGAAAAAATACAGGACAGTATTTTGGGAGAGAGGAGCTACTCTCTTTAGTCTGGGAGTTAACTCCCTTAGGCCGTTTTTTGTTTTTTGGGTGGCTGAGCCAACTGACCAGTCCCTTTAAGCTGTATTTTTTTTTTCTTTTTAGCTTCTTCTCCTTCTCCTCTTCTGAGTTCTCATATTTTTCCACTATAATTTTCCACAACATTGGCTGTGGAGAGGCTGTGGAAGAGGAGGTACAAGAATTGCCTCCATAGGGAGCTTGAAAGTCGGGGAAATGCCCAGAGCTGCAACTTAGACCAAAGGAGGGAACTGTTTTCTATGTATTTATATTCTTAAATTAGTTGTTTTGGTTTTTTTCATTTATCAGAATTGTCTTCCTGACTGATATCAAACAGCAGTTTGGGAAATGCCTTGGAGACTGAATACTAAAGCTGTAAATAAATAGAGCATCTTTTAGTGTTCTTTTCTTTTGTTTGGTTTTTGTTTTTTGCATTTTTTACTTTAAGTATTTAGGATGTTATTTTGGGGGGAAATTCAGGGTTAACCAATATCTTCTTGACCTTTTTCCAAAGATATTCTCACCTTTTATACTATGTTAAATCATCCAGAGTCTCTGATAGGATGAAGAGGTAAAATAATCTAAAATCTCATGGTGATATATTGTTAAAGACAACTTTTGTTGATCTGCCCTAATAAATAAGAGCAGTGATGTCGGTAATAAAAAAAAAAAATTAGTGTTTTATAAACACCCTTTGCTCTATGAAAGAGCTGCGAGCTTAATAATAACTCAATTCTTTGTAAAAAAAAAAAAAAAAAAAATCTGGTTCTGGAATGACTTTTGCATGCTTATAATGTTATATTATTATTAATAATATTTTGCCCAATCTCACACAAAGAGTCCAAATCAGGGTTTAAATTTTGTCTTTGTTAACCCACAAAGTGAAATTTTCAGTATTTAATATTGAAATCTTTTTAATATTGGTGTACTATTGGGTAATCATTAAACTAAAAGAAGAGATGATGGTAGAGAGGTAGAGTGGCATCAGCAGTATCTGAATTCCCTGTCTGAAGAGGCAGAGAATGAAAGATTAAGCTATTGACATGAATTGCTTTTCAGTTATATTAAGTAAATGTCCTTTTGTGTTAGTTCTTGTCTTCCCTACTTAACAGTGTATACTCTCCTCAATGTAATACAAAAAGGACTAGTACCTTGGACCTACCTAGCTTATGCTTTTACTCTACTTGGTTGGACATCCTCCTGAAATTGGGACTGAGATAACCATCCTCCTTGTCAGACTGAGAAACTGAGGCAGGCAGCTAAAATGACTATCAACAAGTTAAGGGATTTAGCCTTTCCCATTTCATTTGGTAGTAATTCCTATAACTCTTAGGAAAGCGTTAGAGCAGCTGTTTCCCCCGTGGTCAGAGGCTTTGATGTTTTGAATGTGGATTATTTCCTAACCTCATAGACCCACATAGAATAGGCCCAAGTAGATATACAGTATGACCTGAAAGTGGTTAAATTGAAATTCTGAAATCCACAGTACCTATTAACATGATCTCTTTGTTTGGCTACTCTAGTGATAGAAGCTTCTTTCCCATGTGTCAGAAGCGTTCTTTGGGCCGGCCCGGTGGCGCACTGCTACAGTACGCTGCTTGAGAGTGCGGCGGCGCTCCCACCGAGGGTTCGGATCCCACATACAGACCGGCCGCTCACTGGCTGAGCGAGGTGCGGGCGCAACACCGAGGGTTGCAATCCCGTTGCCGGTCCCGGTCCGGTACGGGCGCGACACTGAGGGTTGCGATCCGTTGCCGGTCACGAAAAAAGACAAAAAGGAAAAAAAAAAAGAAGCGTTCTTGAACTGAGTGCTTGGATACCTTTAGAGTTAATACCAACCTCTGTCTAATCTTCCTTCTCCTTTTTCTCCTAACAGCTGTCGCTGAAGTGTAGAGCTCCTGAAGTCTCTCAATACATCTATCAGGTATACGACAGCATCTTGAAAAACTAATAGACTGGTCCAGTACCCTCCAGCCACCCTGTGATCGGTGCAAGCCCAGAACTCTTAACTGGAAGAAATTATATTGCTGTGTAGAATCTGAACCAAACACACTGAAGCCACCCACCAAGGTAGTGACTAGTCTAACCTGTGCTAACATTAGGGCACAACCTGTTGGATAGTTTTAGCTTCCTGTGAACATTTGTAACCACTGCTTCAATCACTTTGCACCTCTTGCCACCTGCTGCTGCTCTCTGTCCTTACTTGTGGGCTTCTCCATGTTGTGCCAATGGCTGGCTTTTCCTACACCCTGTTTTGAGTGTAGTTTGGTATTTCGTAATCGAGAGCTCATTTCAAAAGCAGAAAAAGACAACAAATATTAAAGCACGGAAAAGTGTCACTGAAACATAAACTGCACTTTATTGTTTTATATTTTGTACATATGAGAAATTGAGGGAGTAGTGTAACAGGTAGCAAGTGTTAAAATAACTGAATGTCATTAACCACACAGTCCTGGAGGAAGAGATGCAGTTACCTGCCCCACCCTGTTAGGGGTTCTCTTATCTGTGGCAAACTTATCCCTGGTTATTTGGATTTTCACTTTTTTTTCCCCTCCTTTTCCTTGGCCAAGCCTTCATGCAACGCCTCCCTCCCCCCCAATATTATCATCCCATTTTACTGCTCTGCAGTTGGGAATGTTGATCTTCCTTGAATGATGTTTCAGGGTGCAGAAAATATAGGACCTGTCAGCACCAAAACTGAGAGGAGTTAGAACTCACTGCCTTCCTTTCCCCTGAACTAACCAATTAATATCACTGATTAAGGAGTTTGAGTAGAGGTGGGCAACAGGAACCACAATGCCCTCCCTCTGCCCCTTCCCTGTATTCTCAGGTCTGATTCAGATCTAAAATCATAAAGTCTTAGAGTTGAAACAGACTTTTAGTAATAACTTATGTAACCCTGTTTTTCTACCAAGGAGAAGGATAAAAGGCAGAAAGGGTGTTATTGCTGAGGCCTGTCGGCTGTGTAGTGGCAGAGCTGAGACTGGGCCTCCTAAATCCCCATCAGTGGGGTTTTTGCTGCAGGACTGTCTCTCGTTGTTCTCCTCAATGCCTTCTGCCTCTTCTGTGCCTGCTTTGTGGCTCTTCGCATTCTCCATACCAATTTTGGCACCCCATTCATCAGCATCAGGTGGCAGCAGAGTATGTTTTAGGTTACCTGAAGGCTCCTCAATGCCTTCTGCCTCTTCTGTGCCTGCTTTGTGGCTCTTCGCATTCTCCATACCGATTTTGGCACCCCATTCATCAGCATCAGGTGGCAGCAGAGTATGTTTTAGGTTACCTGAAGGTAAATCCAGATGCCAGATAAAAAGAGTAGCTGATATTCTCCATATGTTCCTGGAGGCACAGTCCTTGAGGCCAGCAAGGACTCAAGGGTGGGTGCAGAGACGAAATGAGCTTAGAGATGTTGCAGATTCTCTTTATTCCTTCAGCTGTCTGGTCTGCTCTTTACTCACATTACTTAGGCTCCAAGTAAATTAAAGATCATCCCAGAGGGTCAGGCAGTTCTTGTCATCTCTGAAAAGACTGGGGGATGTGAAATCCCCTCCATTAACACATGGTTATGATATGTCAAAGAATGCTTCATGTCCAAAACACCAACTGTTTAGCAGTGTTCATGCTGTTTGATCTGCGGGCACTTGTAGCGTTGCCTGGCACCCAGTATTCAGGGTACATGACCAAGACTACTCTTCTCAGATGCCCCTGCTCAAATCAGAGGCACTTCAGGGTCCAGAGGCCTTATGTTGGCATTAGACCTAATTTACTGGGCTCAGGAGGAATGGAGGAAAAGGAGCAGAAACCACTCTCCATCCCTATCAGTCCTGAAAAGACCCAGCTTCATTGCAAAGCTTGGAGGGAATGGGTCCCCCAGAGCAGTTTCTTAAACTTTGAGAATCTCCAAGAGAAGAATTACTGGGGTGGGGGAAAGATCTGTCCCTTGCTCATCTCCCTCAGGCACGTGGAGAGTAGGAAATGGCATAGGATTGTGTGGGGGATGTGGGTAGGTTGGTGATGTGTGGGTGGAAAAGCAGGTTGACAAAGTTCCCTTGTTGGGACTTATTCATGGAATCAGTGGATATAAGTAGATAAGAAGGCTCATGGTGCAAATACAGTTCTCACCTCAAAGCAAACGGTAGTTCCAGAAGGAAGAGGATGTGACAGGGCAAGCAGACAGAACACAGTTTTTTTTACCAGAATATGTCCCTTAATCCCTAAAACCTGGCTTCTCACAGCCTCCCACCAGTGATGGATAACAACTACTGTTCTCAGCTGACCCGAATGAGCCAATCTGTGAACCCTTCGCTCCTCATGGAGGCTGCCTCCCATCGCACCCCTAAGCAGAGTTAGGGAGGGATTCTACTTCACGTAAAAGAACCTCTCTCCTGCAGACACAAACCTGTTGCCCCCACCACAGCTTCCCTTTTGGCCCATTTCGAGCTGGCCCAATTGGGGAAGTGGGGTGGATCCCCCTCTCCTCTGCCCAAGTATGTCTTTGTACGTCAGCTGGCATCATACAAAGGGCAAGGGAAGCAAACACTCCCAGAACTCTTTTGCTGGTCAGAGATTCCCTGAGTGTCTGTCACCCAAGCCTGTTCCATGTGTCTGTGTTGTGAAGTTTGGGACTCTGGAGAGAAATGGGGAGGGGGGAGGGGTAGATGTTGCCCTAAGAATGCTTATTCCTCTGTTCTTGTTGGGATCTGTTCTTGGGGCGGGTTGGGGTTGGGGGAAGTTTGACCTTGCATCTTCGTCAATAAACTCTCATTTACACAAAATGAAGTTTGTGGTATGTACTTTGTTCCCAGAACTGACACTCTAGGACAAAAAACATTGTGGGGGTGGGGGTGGGGGGGGGTGGAACATTTACAGCCATTCTATTAAAACTTTTTTTTTGATTGCCCTAGCCCTCCCAGGGATTCAGCGAGATGAAATTAAGATTGGCTTGAGGAAGAATCATATACCTGCAGAGGCTCCTGTCGACCAAGCCTCCAAACACCGCCATCATTACCCCAGACAGGCAGCAAGTGCTCAGAGGAGCAAATCCATCTTCCCTGACAGGCCCCCTGCTGGGGCTCCAGGCAGATGGTCTCAGGCACACTAGCCAGCACTACAGCAGCATTTTCTGACTTGTGGGTAGGCAGCCAGCCAGCAGGGCCCGGGGCGGGAGGAGCACAGCAGAGCTTCTCATCAGTTTCCTATTACCCACGATGTCTCACTCATCTCTCAATTTATAAAAGCCTTTCAGACCTGGACTCAGGGCCTGCGTATTCCCAAACAAATAGAACCAAGGCCGCTTTAAAGCAAACTTCTCAAGGAGTTCAAGTCTAGCAACCTGCATTTGTGTTGCTGGGGGAACATGACCCAGGTGTTATCAAGACAGAGGGCCCCACCCCTGGGTTCTGATAGCTGACAGTAGCTGAAATCTCCCACAGCCTGGAGTGAGAGATCCAGCACCAAGATGCCCATGAACAAGTCCCCGAACCTCACTCACCACTAGAATGAGTGTAGGTAAAGTTCTTTGCACAGTGCTTGGTGCTTAGTAGGTGTTCAGAAACAGTGGGCTGCTTTTATTTGTCCAAACACCATGAAGGAACTGAACTGCCTTTGGCAGCTAGGAAGTTTTTAGTTGTCTCCATGTTGCTAGGCTGCAGTTAGCCCAAGCTGTAATAGTAATGACCCTTGGGGAAGAGTGGAGTCAGGGTGGTCTTAATTGAGGTTCTGGATCAAAGACATGAAGAGGGACCTTACTGAGATCTAGTTAGGGGTCCCCAGTTAAGAGTGATTTTAGTTCGGGCAAAGAAAGTCCCCAGGGGAGGCTCTCAACTCTTGGGTGCACATTAATATAACCTGGAGAGCTTTCAAAAAAGATGGATGGTTCTGTTTAATCAGTCTGGAGTGAGGCCAAGGGGAATCTGCATTTAAAAAAAAAAAAAAAAAAACTCCCCTGGTGTTTCTAATGTGCAGCCAGGGTTAGGAGTCACTGCCAGAGAGAAGCTTTCACCTGTTCACCTACTTCCTCTTCGATGGTAATAATCGTGTTTTTGTGGCAGTTGAAAAACAGCAAGGCGCCTCCATGCACATGATACCTGCTTATTCCCTTGCCTATATCATTTTTCAGGTGAGATCTGACTCCTTGCCTGTGTCCTTACCGCCACACTACAGCTTCCTCTTCCATGTCACCAAAGGTTCTGTAACAGGCTCTACCCAGCCTCTGCTCTTGGCCACATCCAGCCTTGCTAAGTCCCGAGTATATCTGCATGTTCAGGACAAACTGGTCCCAAACTTTCACCTGAGATTGCACTATCCTTCTCTCAGTATATTATCTGCATGTTCAGGACAAACTGGTCCCAAACTTTCACCTGAGATTGCACTATCCTTCTCTGCCCCTGGAATAGCAATTAGGAAATACTGAGATTTCAGGTACCTTGTTTCTGAGGCCAGAAAACAGCTGAGGACTCCCAGGTTTGGGCCTTCCTACTCCCACTTCACGCATTAATGCTTTTTCTGATTTTGCTTGGACCCAGATTTCTTTTCCCTGCCACCCCCAGCTCTAGGAAGCAAGAGCCTGTTTATTTTAATACCTGGTATGGCACTTGGGGAAGTTCACACCTCCCCCGTTATTACCCATTTCTATCTCCTGAACACTAATCCTAGAATCCCAACCAGCCCCCAGACATGGTATTAGCAACAAGGATGTTTCTTGAAAAGTTTCCCAGTTGGCTGCAAACTTGCCATCTCAGTTTCTCATTTAGCTTTTGCCCTGCCATCCCTGATGCTGCCAACAAGGGGAAGGCTAATTTGGGGGTTGGTTAGACCAAGATTTTCAGATGGAGAAATGGCTTTCAAGGTCCTAACTTCCAGAAGGCATTTTTTTTTTTTTAGACAAGACCGCCATTTCTAGGATCATTCCTCCTTTGGACAGGGACTTAACACTCCGGGACTGAAAGAACTCCGCTGAGCCCACTTCTCCCACCGTGTGGTGTTAGAGGATGATGTTCAAGTCTCACCTCTGGCTTTCCCTCCTTTGTTTCATTCACTCTCCACTTATGGTCAGAGACTCCAGGATCTGGCCAAACAGCCTGTGAAGTTTCAGTGGGGTCCTCAGCTATGATGGAGCAGGAGCAGAGGTAGGCAGGTGCAGGTGTTTGTCCTTTCTGTCCCACTTCATCCCTGGGCCTCAGATACTACAGGTGGGCCAATGCGTCTGCTCCCCTGGAACCTGAGCTTGCACCTCAGCCATCAGGCATCCTTAGCTGAACCAGAGCCACCTGAGGCTCAAGACAGGACCTCAAACTTTTTTACCAAGGTAATCCTAATGATAGAGGAGTGAACAGGCCCTTAGGGTGTATGTTCTTAGCC